CACACACACACACACACACACACACACACACACACAGTATGAACTTCAGTAAAAGTAGATCAACCATTTAAACTCTATTAAGCTAGATTTAGTGAAAGTACTGCAGTATAATCAGCAGTAATTGAATGTTGTTGCTACTGTGAGTACGGTTGGCTCGTCATAACAATATGTTGTACTTTATGTACCTGAGTATCTGAGATGTCACATAAATATACAGCAACATGTACAGCAGCGTGTACACAGCAGCATGTACACAGCAGCGTGTACAGCAACATGTACAGCAACGTGTACAGCAACGTGTACACAGCAGCATGTACAGCAGCGTGTACAGCAGTATAACTAATACTCACATGGAAGAGTTTCTCTGTGGTTGGCTGGACGGAGAGGAGGTCGAAACAACGATACTCTGCAGCGTTAGGCCTCTGAAAACCCACACACACACACACCAGATTATTGATTATCAGCACTTTGTCTCTTTATCCTCAGAGGACAGCGGGCCGTCCTTTGAGGACACTGATTCCCTGAACATTCCTGTAGAGCAGCAGATAAAATGGCCGACATCCTGACATTTTAAACTTCATCACATATGTCCTCCTCTGTTCTTTCCATCATCATCACTAAAGCTGAGCAATAACTCATCAATCAATCAGTCGATCAAAGAAACTGTTGGTTCGTCGTTTTTTTAAGCATAAACTGTGAAAAGATGCTAATTATTGTTATTATTTCACGATAAAGTGAAAGCAGAGGGAGCCAACACGTGAGTCGCCCGCAAGGCATGTTCTAAAAACAGCACTAGTATGAAGAAAAATCACTGTCAGAATCCAAGAGAGCAAATAAGATCCACGCACACGCGTGTGTAGAGGTCCCGTGTGTGCAAATTAAACAGCAGCGCACGTATATTACTTTGACGAGCACTTTCACATCATATCTGCTCACGCGGGCAAAATTGCAGCCAGCAAGGAGAAAACCCTGCTTTGAGCACGAGGACTCCCCCTAGTGGAGGATGAGGACTCCCCCTAGTGGAAGACTCCCGCTAGTGGAAGACTCCCCCTAGTCGAGGACGAGGACTCCCCCTTGTGGAAGACTCCCCTAGTGGAGGACGAGGACTCCGCCTAGTGGAGGACGAAGACTCCCCCTAGTGCAGGACGAGGACTCCCCCTAGTGGAAGACTCCCCTAGTGCAGGACGAGGACTCCCCCTAGTGGAAGACTCCCCCTAGTGGAGGACGAGGACTCCCCCTAGTGGAAGACTCCCCCTAGTGGAGGACTCCCCTAGTGCGGGACGAGGACTCCCCCTAGTGGAGGACTCCCCCTAGTGGAAGACTCCCCCTAGTGGAGGACGAGGATTCCCCCTAGTGGAGGACTCCCCCTAGTGGAGGACTACATCACTGCTCTTCTGCTTGCTCACAAGTACTTGTTCTTTTGACACTGAGTGGGCGGACCCAGTCACTATTGTATAACTAAATTTAATTGTTTACAATCCTGGTCTTTGGGTTGGCCGGATATCAATCTGACATCACTGATCATTTGTATCAACATGGACAGAGGTCATGATCTGTTCAAACGTGTTACAAAGGTCGTGGTTCGTACAAACGAGACATGATGTGAAGATGTGACAGTTCATCATTTCATAAAAAATGTTAGAAGTGATAATTTGTACAAAAATATAACAGGTATGATTTTGAATAAAATACACAATCATTGTCAATGATTACTGTGAGGAATAATTCACATGGACATGTGATCAGACAGACATTATTATTAAAAGGAGATGTCAGGACGGAGGCCGTGGTCCTCTCAGTGCCCTGCTGTAGGAACATGAGGTCATCAGAGATCAATCTATGAGATCATGATTAGCACATCGTTGGTACTTTAAGGTTTAACTTTACTGAGAAACAAGATTCACGAGAAGAAGGAATCTGTCATGGACATCCTGAAAGATTTCAAAATAAAAGCAACACTCACAAAGTGACTGGAATCTGACATCACAACGGTCAGTCTGTTCAGCACTCTGATTGGACGATAGCGACCCTGACGGAGACAAAGACGGACGTAAACGACAACACAAACAGTCATCTTCATCTTCATCATCTTCATACCTGAACGACGGGCAGCTCATCAATCAGCTCTTTGATCGGCGTCGGGGTCGGAATCTCCTGCAAACAGGAAACAAAACAGAGAGTTACAAAATAAAAGTCAGTCTCGACCATTTAATATTTACTAATTTAATTAAGAAAGGAAGGTAGAAGAGGACTTTTATTTAATTTGAATATATATACATATATATATATATATATACATAT